TTGTAGCTGTGTCAAACAACGATTTCGTTTGGAACAACATTCCTATAGTTTTTTAAAATAATTTTTTATTACAAAAAAATTAATTTTTATATTAAAATTTTGATTTAAGAAGCGATAAAAAAACTGTCTCGAACCAATCCAAAGTCTTAACTCAACACTTTAAATACAAATAGTAGTACAAATAGTAGTTGTGATGTTTCTTATCTTACAAATTAATTTGTTGTTTAATTTTTCTATAGATTTTTTTTAAATTAAATATCCAAAATAGAAATTTGACGCGGAATTTTAATAATCACTCTTTTCAAAAATAAAAATAAAAAATCACCGATTAGGACGACTACTTATACATAGCATATACGACATAAATATTATTTAAAATTAAAAAATAAAATAAAAAATATTATTATTATCTGAATCACCAGCCACAGCTACTACCAACTTTCCTTCTATAATCGGCCAGGCCATTTTAATATAATTAATTTCCATTAAAAAGATAGGACCAAATCTTTCTCTTACCACCTTATGGGCCCTTCTTATATATAGAACAGAAAAGCTTATCTCCCAAAACTCTGATAAATCCCCCTCTCCTTCTCCCCTTCCCTCTCGCTTTCCTTCACCTTCTCCCTCCTTTCTTCCATGGCAGTTGAAGCGCACCATCTTCTCCCTTTGTCCCCTCAGCTCCTCTTTGACCGGTATTACTCCATTAATGTATTTCCTTAAGACTTTCTCAGCAAATTAGCTCATTTTCTTCTCCTTGTATGTAAAGTCTTCTTCTTTCTTCTGAATAACAGAGAGCTGATAAAGGTAGCTGACTCGCAACCGCCGGAGATGAGCGATGCTTTATTCGCCACCACCGCCACCGTCTGCAAGAAACGGCCGAGAGACCCACTCACCTTCGGCCTTGATGAACTCTCCTCCCATGTCCGGCATGACATGCTCGACCTTGATCGTCTTCTTACAGATCATGTAAGCTTCTTTTTTTATTTTTGTAATTCAAACAATAAAGAAATTTAATCGCTAATAAATCGGATCTTTCTGATATAAAGCTCATCATGATGGGTCTTTTGCATTGAGATTGCTGCAATTTAAAATATCATACTTATATCTATATCTAATTTGAAAATATTATTCTTAAATTCTCTTGCAATCATGTAAAATTTTCACTCTGAAAATTTGGGTAAATTAATCTTTCATCTCTCTTATGTAAATCCTACTTTAATCACTACATATAATAAAAAAATTAACACAATCAACCTTATAAAAATTAGGTAAATTTTAGTACTATTTTTCATCTGTTGGATTTATAGGGGATTTTCATCCATATTACTTTATTTCATAATATTTACATATCTAACATCTAAAATTTAAATATTACATACTTACAACCCATAGAACAGATATGAGTTTATGGAATGAAATATTAAAATTTATAAGGTGGTATGGGTGGTAAAAATAAAATATATGTGTGATATATTCGATATTAAAATTTTATATGAATGACAAAAATGTAATATTACGTGTAAATAGCATGAAATAAAATGATATGTATGTAAATCCCTCTAAATATATTTTAAAATGAAATATAATATATAACTAATTATTAATTATCTCTTATTTCAATAAATATAAAACACACTCTAATTGAGATCTTATTTGGAATATTTTTTTGTCACTATTTTTTATTGATTTAAAAAAATTATTAAAAATTTTATTTCATTGAGATTAGTGCAACTCTGAACTCAAAGGACCCAAAAATTCTCTTCACCTAATGCTGACGATCAAAATATGCCACCACAGAACGAAAGAGTTCGCGCAGAGCTAAACGAGCGGCGGCGGTTGTTCATGCAGCAGCTAATGGCAGCAGTAGAGCAAGGCATTTGGAAGCGGCTGAAGGCAAAAGACTACGAGATCGAACGAGCCAAGAGAATTAACTTAGCATTAGAAGAAAGAGTTCGCAGCCTCTCCATGGAGATCCAAATATGGCGAGAACTGGCTCAAACCAACGAAGCCAACGCGAATCTCCTCCGAACCAACCTGGAGCAAGTAATACTCGCTACGCAGCTTCGCGTGAAGGAGGAGCAGCAGCGAAGGTGTGTGGCGGAAAGAGACGCAGTTGATGATGCCGAGTCTTGTTGCTGTGGGGAGAGCGATGGAGTAATGGCGTCGGTGGATAGGCCAATGAGGGCGTGTAGGAGCTGCGGGGAGAGGGAGGCGACAGTGCTGTTGCTGCCATGTCGCCACCTTTGTCTCTGTGTGGATTGTGGTCGGGTTATTAATTTCTGTCCGATTTGTAAATGTTCGAAGAGTGGGAGTGTGAATATAAATTTATCTTGATTTTTTTTTTTTGAAGGAGAAATAAGGTGTAGGAGGAGTTTATTATTACTATTTTTTTTGGTAATAAGGGTGGTAATTACCATAATTAAATGCATGGAATTCATCTGTTCTTTTTATTAATTACTCAGTATTTTTTTCCCTTTTTTTTTGGACGGGGAGTATCTACTCGCATCTACCCTCAAGGCGCTTGATGTCGTAACTAATTCCTTGGCGGACCTAACGGCAGCCAGGCAGCCAATACACAGATGTCGGGTCTACGCTTGGTATACTCCCCTCAAAGGGAAAAATTATTTTGTCTGGACAGCATACCGAGCGGTACCAAGTGCATGTATCGAGCATTGTACTGAGCGTAGTACCGAACGCAAACTGAGCGCCTAGTGATGTGACGCTTTTTTATTGGTCTCTGACATATTCGGTGTTTGGACACAATAATCTCTCCCTCAAAGGAGGCGAGTCGCTCGGGAGAGGAATCGAACATAAGTTTGGTGGTTCCCAAACATGCTCGCTCACCAACCTTGGGTGTGTTTTGTATTCTTACTTGTTTTTTCATACCATGCACGAAACCTTTAAATCCTCTCTCTCTCTCTCTTAAATATTTTTTACATTTTAAATTTTATGTTTTGAAAAATTATTATATAACATGAGAAATTTAGTAATTTACTTTAATGCAAAAATTACTTCATATAAATGTAAAATTTAATAAATATTTCTTGACATAATTTGAAATCTCAATCATTTAAAAAAATATAATTATATAAATTTATGTGTTCTTTGGTTAATACTTAATAGGCTAAGTGCTTTGTATCTCATGTGGTCGCACAGTTAGCATATCCAAAGGCTGTCAGGAGCCCACCTTTTGTTTCTCCACAAAGGGACATTAGGCGCCACATCCTTCACAGGCTCAATGCATTATTTACTTCAAAATTTTCTTGTGCTGATGCAGTGTTAATTATTTTGTCGGGTAAAATATAAATGTTACTGTGGTTGAATAATACCCGGATGATCAGATCATGGAAGTATTTTTGTGAAATTATAAAAATTCTTTGTAATATCTTAGTCCACAGAGAATTTAGCCGAATTATTTTTTTTTTACAAGGTAAAATCCAATAACCAAAGTTCTTGAGTATAATAAGTGCATAAATATTTAGTTACTAATACGAGTTATTGATGTAAGTTTGTTAGGGATGTTAAATCCTTATGAACTAGATCAAGGCTAATTAAGAGAGAGGTGAATTTATATTTTAAAAAAACTTTCACAATAAAAAAATCAAACCAAAATTAACCACAAAGAAAACACAATGCGGAAATTAAATGTGGAAATAATAAAGGAAAGAACACACCAGATTTATAGTGGTTCGGTCAAACATTGAGCTACGTCCACTCCTCGGAGGCACCCTCCGAGTATTGCACTAAACTTAGTGTCTCTTCTTTAGCCCCCAAAGCTAGGCAGAGAAGCTCTTACAAAATCACTTTTACCTTCCTCGGTGCGGTGGAGTAGCCGAGTCCTTTGACACCAAAGAGATCTTCTTCTTCCCATAACTTCCTTCAAAACAAGCCTTGAATCCGATGGTATTAAGGTGCAAGCTCGCCGAAGCAACCGTGTGGAATCCCCCTCCACACTCCCTTGAAACCCCCTCCAAGGATCTTCTCCCTCTCTCAAACTACACCCTTTCCTCTCTCCCTTTCAAGCTCTCTCTTCAAGATTCCTCAAAAAGAACGAAGCTACAATAGCTGTCAAAGACACTCTTCATGAGAAAGCAAGAAGTCTTTAAATAGATTTGCAAAATCGACATTATCGTCCAGGACGATCGCCGAATCATCCCGTATGATATGTATAAAAATAGAGCTTCCAAAAACCCTAAAAACTCAATTTCGACGGCAAACATCGTCCGGGATGATCGCAGGATCGTCTCGTACGATGTGCTTAAAAAGAGGGTTTCAGAAAATCCTAAAAACTTAATTTCGGCACCCAGAATCGTCCTAGACAATCGCAGGATCGTCCAATACAATGTGCAGAATTTGACATGATAGTCCTAGACGATATTAGGATAGTCCATGATGATTAGTACAAAAAATGTACAAATCTTCTAGGACGATGTTGTAGATCGTCCTGGATGATTAGAAGAAAAATTATGGTATTTCTGCTTGGACAATTTAGGAAAATCAAGTATGTCGGCAAACATCGTCCTGTACGATATACAGATCGTCCAGGATGATCAGATTAAAAAAATTAATCATAATTAGTCCCCTAATCACAGGATCAATGTAGGCATTATTTGTATTGATCGTCCGGGACGATTTGAACAAAAATTTAAACTTAAATCCTTGCCTAAATTGTCATTGGCGGCTCTTTTCCAATATCATAAAGGATCGTCCTAGACGATTCGAAATCGTCTAGTACGATTAGTTCAAAACTTGATTTTCTGGATTTAAGTAAATCTCACTCCCTTGAGTGTGTCTGTGCATGACCACCAAGCAAGCATACACCCTTACAAGACTTGACTTAAGAAATAAAAAATTACATCAATGGATATTACAAAACCTTACAACATAACATTATTCAACCCAATTTTAAGCTCTGATTCTTTGTTTGATGTTGCATGACATTCTTGAAATATTAGTATACACACAAACAAACATATATTGCAAATACAAGTAGACAACAAAAAGTGAGTAATAATATTTGTTATCATCAAAAACATAAACTCATAAGCTCGAGTTGCAATAATTGTGGGCTAGAATATATGCGGTGATAGAGTTAAAATTTTTTAGCATTCCCTTCTCTTTTTTTCACTGTGTGGACAACTAAATTTTGCACTTCGTAATCGATTGTTAGTCTTAATCTGGCAATAATGATTTCTTTGACATATCCAAAGGATGAACTCTTATTTTTATCATCATCTTAAACATATATTTTTACAGTTAATGTAATTCTTTAAAAAATACATGAAAAAATGATTTTACGAAAAATTTAGGTATTTCATATGGTCAATATGCATCAAAAGTCAAAAGAAGCCAACCTTAACCAACCGCTTTTCCTGAAATAATTCTTCAAATTTGTTTTAAGAGACTAAAATTAGGTTTTCTAAAATGTCCTAAAAATCAAAAAGTGATTGGTGAAACTTAATTTGTGAAATTAAATGAAAATGACATTTTGTTTTTCTCAAATTTAATTTTCTTGGCCATCATGTGGTAAGGTAGAGATTGAGAAAGAAGAGCTTGCAAGGAAGGTAGTTGAGAGGCCCAAGAATAAGAAATGAAAGCAAAATGGGTGATAAGCATGTGAAGAAAGTTGACATGCTTGAAACTTGGAAAAGGAAAACAATTTGCATTACCTGATTTTGATGCAACAATACATAAGAGTAAAATATATGCTTAAGCTTAGGTGTTGAGTATATTACTAAAACTATAATACAATTATATTAAAAATATAATCAACTATTTTCTATTGTATAATAATTCTTAATTTCATTATTTATATTAAGCCAAAAATAAATTTTCTTTTAATTTTTATAAACATTCACCATTTTTATCTTAGGTGTTGAGCTATTCATACGATTTTTTTTTCTTTGAAATATCATGACATTAAGAAACTAGAACATGAGAGGAGAAATAATAGAAAAAAGAAAAAGAAATAACTTAGACTTTTATCTTTACATATATTAAGATTCTAACAATGCATAGAAATTAATCCTTTTTTTTTTTGTTGAATATGTGCCTATTTTTAAGTTATTTTTTCATAAAATTATTATGATATAAAAGAACAAAATAAACGATATCAATAAAAGAGAGCGCAAAAGAAGCTTTGTGGTCGCAAAATGTTTTTTGCCAGATTTACGACATTTGATCAATCATATTTATTTATTTATTTAAACGGAAGGGGACTTTTTACAATATAAAAGATTGCAATAAAATTACATATAAATGTTCATATATAATTTGTATAAGGCTCCTTTTCTTTGCGTAAAGTAAACTACGAGTTCTTCTATAAGTAGCAAACTTGTTGGCTAGCCCTAGACAAAATGATCCAAGCCATCATGATGAGCTTGCTATGAGGGGGACCTCAACCAATTGCCCATGTGAGTGGGTTATATCAAAATAGAACAATACCTATTCCAATTAATATTGCAAGTGGGACACATTTCCCAAGATAAATTAATAAATTCAAAAGCTAAAGTAAGCACTATATTGATGATTTACCAAAAGGGAGAACTTGATGATCATGTGGTCCTTCCCATCAAAAGAATCTTATATCATATATAATCAACAAGCTAGTACTAGGAAAAATATTGACATGCCTTTGTCTTTGATGTCTGTGACTGTAAGTAATCAAATAGCTTTATTATAATTAGAGATCTTTGAAGAATGGGAGCACTTTACAAAGTTCAAATAGAGCCGATCACATTCAAAATATGACCTCATCAGCTGTCACTAATTATGTATAATATTTTATGAAATTATAATGTATGTGATCTAAATATTATGATTCGCTAGTTTTATGAATATACGGTTTGTTTGGGACGGTTTTCTTACTGCTTCTTAAAGTAATTTTTAAGTACAAAATTTTATTATTTTACTGAAAAGTTGATTTAATAGCTAGAGAAAAAGGATTCATGTAGCCGAGCCTACGTAGTGGGATAAAGGCTTGATGATGATGTTGTTGTTGTACTAAAAAGCTGCTTTAAAAAATAATAAGAAAGTCATCCAAAATGAAGGCATAGGTTTCGATTGGGACGGCTTTATTACTACTTTTTAAAACGGTTTTTAAGAACAAAAAATAATTTTTTTTTTACTAAAAACTTATTTAAGCAGTGAGAAAGCCGTCACAAACGAAGCCATGGTCTTTGACTTGAATAAATTATTACATTTTATAAAACTATTGAGCTCAAGCTCAATATAAATTAAACAAATTTGGCTCGATTAATCAAGAATTTGAATCGTTTACACCTTTATATAGATCAAAATTTATAATTTATAATATTATCCCTTGCAATAGGCAAAATTTGTTTATTATTTTATAATATGACAGGGCTTTCTTGATCGTTTTGTCATATGGATAGCTAGCAGCAGCTTGCTTATAATTGTCAAATCTTTTGATTATAACTTATAATAATATTCGA